CATGGGCGTTAAGCTTTCTTTACAAATACTATTTTTGCGTTGCTTTCATTGCTCTTCTGAAATGTGTCTTGCCTGACTATAAAGCTTCAATGACAGATGCATACATTTGATTTTAAAAGCATCTTTTTCGATGTTAGCTCTGGGAGCAAAAGATTGTGGACAGTTTCCCGTACTGCTTGCAGGCCACAAAAACACATGGCTCCCACACAAGGTAGCTAGTAGTTCCTGAAGCACCAAGAAACAAGCAGAAATGAACTTTCCCAGAAAAGAGCAGCTCATGAGGGCTATCCTGATCCAGAAAGAAACATTTCCACTGGCTTCTGAGAGTCACAACAGAACGTGCTAACTCTCCAGGGGTGGGTCCCACTGGCAGAACAGCATGTGGGGAACAGCAGAAGCAAAACAGGGTACTGCCCTACATGTGCAAGACGGTCATTCACTTACAGAACTGAAATTGAAAGACTTCCCCTCTGTATGTACCTGTACCCTGTTCACCTGTGGCCGTATTCTCTAAGCTGTATTTATCGCATGCAACTTCCATGTTGTTTTTCTGTGTCACTGTTGATTTGTTTGATCCTCTGTGAACCATGAAGAACTTTCTGGTTTTCTTAATATTCCCTTCCATTTGTCATATTATATACTTTCAGCTGTATAACATGTTTCCTGCATTTGGCTTCCTTTTGGATAGTTGTAAGACTGTCCTTAAAAACAGAGATGAAGTATTTGCTTTCATAAATGACACCTTTGTCAAACACCTCAAAGACCTGGATGAAAATGACCAACGGAATTTTATTGATTCATTTTTGATTCGACAGCAAGAGGTAAAGGAGTCTTTTACATTTGCTTGGAATTACAGATGAAAGTGTCACATAACGTCTTTACAGTTTGCATGTGTATGAAAGTCCTGCAGCTGGCAGGGAACTTTGAGAAAAGAGTAATACAACATCCCAAAGGATTTTCCAAAAATTGAGTCATCATTACCATCAACCTGTTTGTCAGAAAACTGGGTATTTAGCGTGGTTAAGAAATCACTATATTCCGTGTATTTAATTTTATTTATTTATTTATTAAAACATTTCTATGCCGCCCCTTGCCGAGGCCTCAGGGCGGCTTACAACACAATAAAATACAATAAAATACAAAAATAACAATATAAAATTAACAATATAAATAATTTTCAAAGTAAATCTTCTGAGTAGAGGACTTTCCTTCCCTGTGAATGCTAAGTATCCCCCCAGCTTTGTGTCATTTACTGAAAAATCTCCACAGGAGATGTTTGCACATTGTTTTAACCAGTCCTTTCCCTTACACCCTAGGAGAAAAAGAGCACGAGTACTGGCTTCTTCCATCAGGAAAACCTAAGAGCTCTTGTTTCTGACTTGTTTGGTGCTGGCACAGAGACCACGTCAAGCACTCTGCGCTGGGGCATATTGCTCATGATGAAGTACCCTGACATTCAGAGTGAGTACTTCTGTGGGTCTGGCTCCCTTTCCGCACTATTTGGGGCTTAAGTATGAAAAACCAGAGTGAAAGAAAAACAAGGACAACGCTGTAGGTGAGGAGCATGAGTGAATGAGCTGCTCTTTCTGTTTCTGCCGAGCTGGAATGGAGGCATCCTTGAGGGGCCGAAAGAGAGTTATGAGAGTTGTTTCCTGCCTCCATGTTCACATGTACATACCCCAAAGTTAATTTTCTAATGTTGCGTCCTTAGCCACCATCAAAACATAGGTATATATCCAGGAGTATACCCAAAACGGACGTGAGGCTTCAAGGGTACCGCAGTAGGATATGCTACCAGAGATATGATTGATAGCCCCTCGCAAAAGGGGGTTTTCTTTGGTACCTGAGCAAGGGGTGGTGAGCGCCCTCTTGCGTAAATCCTCTCAGGAGCTGGAAGCCTTTTCACAGCTGTAAACCACTAGCATTTCCCTCTGTGTGGGTGGTTGCTGTCCAGCTCTTGGCGCCCTTGGCCGAGACTACTTTGTGGCTCCCCTGCAGCCAGGCCATGGTTTAGCCTGAAACCAAGCTTGGTCGCCCTGCATAATGCTCTATTCTGCAGGACGAGGGGAGTGTGACCTCGTTGGTTCTTCCTGATCTCTCAGGGGCTTACAGCATCCTTGGGATCTTTATGAGGCGACTGGGTGAACTGGGCGTACCTATTCATACATTACTGAAACAATGATCAGGAATGAGGTGTCAGCAGTGGAAGAGGCAAGTTTTCTGGTGGCACCAAATTATTTAGAAAGGTTGAACTGAAAAAGCCATTGCAGGATGCTCTGAAGGGATCGCCCAAAACTGGGAGAAGAGGCATAAGAACGGTTGCAAGCTGCCCAGAGAGCTTCAGCTGTTGGATGGTAAGCAAAACAAACAGACAACATGGCAAATGCAGTTAAAAGCAGGCAGGTATAGGCTGACGGGATCTGAGGATGAAAAGGATCCTCAGGTCGTGGCGGACACGTTGTCCCAGTGTGTCACTGCTGTAGAAATGCTAAACTCTATGCTGGGCTTAATTAGGCAAGAGATGACAAATAAGACTGCCAAATGTGTACTCCCCTTACACAAATCTCTAGTATCACTTAAAATACAGTGTACAGTCCTGGTCATCACACCTGCAAAAAGACATCCCTGAGTTGGAGAGAGTGCAGAGAGAGGCAACTAAAATGATCAGGGGGCTGGAACAACTCCCCTAAAAGGAAAGGTAACAACAGGTACAATTGTTTTGCTTAGAAAAAATGCAAGTAAGGAGAGACAAAACAGAGGTGTTCAAAATTATGCATGGGATGGAGAAAGTGGGAC